TTCAGCTTTTTAATAGTTGAATGTATCTAACGAAAGATCTGAAAATATATTTTGCATAAGTTTAATTCTAAACCAGTCCATTTTATAAAAATTTCTGAAGGTGTACACAATAGTCAAAAATCAATTTGCTTCAATATCCTTGCATGATTGGTTTTCAGATATTTTCATATCCTTATAGAATGAGTTTTCAATTATAGTATTATCACTTTAAAGACATCACTTCTAATTTGGTTTTTGGCATAAAAGACCCCAATTTTCGGTATATAGAAAGAAAGTTTCATACTTTTATCTATTAAAAAAAATTAAATAAATTTAAAACAATTTTATTTCAGTTATTCGATATAATTAGAAATTTAGAGATTCTGATTACCGTTTCTGACTTTCTGTTTGTCGAAAACATTTGGAGGAAATTTTTGATTGCTTACTTTTCAAAATTGGAAATACTATATAGTGAAAGATATTTTCTTCTAAAGTAGATGATGTTTTCATTTACAGTACAAGCACTAACGAAAATAGATTAGCAAATGACTTTTGAATCCAGAGTGCATAGATTTTCATACTTGTATATTTCATTCATTCCAGATCTTAAACGTTTTTGGACAGCTTAACACGATTCCACTGTTGTAAGTCAGATAGCACAGAAGAAAATATATTAAACGGGCATGAACTTCTATTTACAGCACACGATTCGAAATTTTGAGATGTTATTCTCTACAAATACACAATACATATAAAACAGTATTTACTTTATCAGCCAAAGCATTAAAAGAGATACCAGAGATGCTATTCTCGTCAAATTCACAGTATACCAGAATTCACTTTGTAAACTGCAAATACGAAAACCAGAGAAGTTATCCTCTTCATATATCGAATACACATAAACTTACTTTATGATCTTCAAATGCAAGTCAACTAAAGCAGAGATGTTAATCTAATACTTGAAGATATTATGCAGCAATATTGGTCTTCATATAATAAAATTTTGATAATTTTGAAATATTTTTAAATTTTTTTCTTTTATTGAAAGTCAATATTAGTTGCAAGAACCACATAAGCTGTTCAAAATATTTCTACCAAATATCAATACGATTAGCGCTAATATAGCACTCAAATAGATTATCGTATAATCAATTAAATCTTCCTTCGCCTTTTTAGCACTTTCTGCTTTTTTTTGATCCATAACTCAAATACAAGCCAAAATTTTGTAATAATTTTGCAAGACAAGAAGAAATTTGAAGAAACTTTTTTTCATTAAAAATTTAAATTTAAAATTAATTTTACTGAGTATTTTGACAGGCCAACTAGATTATTTAAAATTTTTATAAATTTTTTCTAATTTTCTGAACATAAGGAATTTTGATCTCAAGCATCAAATTTCGTTACTGCGGCTAAGATAAGGGATGGAGAACAAAATAAGTAGTACTTTTTAAAAATTGATTTAACACATCGTCTGCAAAGTAACTGAGACTAAGTTTTATAAACCCATTTTTTGTTTTTCGGAAATTTATCTTCATTCATATATTTTTAATCAAGAACAATATACCCCTTTCAGAACTTCTCTAAAATACTCTTCTTGTAGAGAAATTAATCTTTGGTCTCAAAATAGACGTTTGTTGCGACGATGACTTCTTTATTTTACAAATATCTTCTTCCATAGCGTATTTTTTAAAGTCTTCAAACAGACAATGAAGATTGGTGGTCAAATCTGATGAATAAAGACGGGTGCTGAAGTAATTCGATGTGTAGTGTATACAATTTCGTCACTGAAACCAACTATCTGTGAGACGAAAAATTATCTTCATTTGGGATCGGTTTTTTTTCGCGATCTCATCATCCATACGCAACAGAGACTATATATAACATAATATTCAATTTGATATTAATTTATTTTTCAAGATAGTTGATGAATACTATAGCCATCATAAAACACGAATGCCACATTCTTACAAGGTTTTGGTCACTTTCACTGATTGCAATCTACTCAGCTCGCTGCCGTTTTGAAGCAGTAGTGAAATAGGGAATCCATATTTTATACATTATTACATATTGATGTGAAACACTGATTAATAAATATTTGAAAAGCTCCAAACAGCTCTCTGCGTTTTGAGCAATATTAACTCTCATTATGACAGCAGCTTTATCATAGACAAATATTCATACAAAATAAATCCCATACATGTCTATATGTTAAGATAGTATTGGTTTTAATGAAAAACTCATCATAAAAACTCATATACCTAAAATACTTGATAAAAAGGGGAATGTGTAATTCTCCTTTTCTGAGACAAAGTTATCGTCTGTTTCTATATTTCATCCACATCCGATATAATTTATAATTATCTTAATGGTCTTGTTTATAGCTTAGAAGAACTATTAAAGTAGCTTTAAAAGAGATGATATTAAAAATTTAAAAACGGCGAAATCGACATTTGAAAATCATGAATATAATCTTTTTTAGCTGCAGCAGAAATAAGATTTTCCTTGAAGTCATTGAATGCATTTAAATGCCATCAAGCGTGCCTACTGCCGTAGTTCACATTTTATATTCACGAATAATTTTTATTGCTTTTTCTTATATATTATATATATATCTTTTTTTCTATATTTGCTTTTTACCTTTTTAAATTTTCATGCATGTGTACACATGACAAAAAGCGTATACATTTTTAAACTGCGATTCTAAGGATAGTAATGCCAGTAGAGGAGGAGCAAAAGTTGTATGGGATTTGCATATGTGAATATGACTGATAATCTTAAGCTTTGACTTATGCAGTTGTTATATATTTTATTGTTGACTTTGTTATTGTAACTGAAGAAGCTGATATAAAAAACAAAATCTCTAAAGAAAAAATATGAAATATTGTGTTAAAGTAAGGAGAGCAATGAAAGCAAAGAAAACCGTGAAGATTTATTTAACTGCAACACCAAGAGTGATGCACATAATTTGCATATACACACATTGCATTGCATATTTGCTAAGATATGAGTATACTTTTTATAAGGAGTATCTGAATTTGTGTGGAGAAAGCAGCCACTTTATAATAACAACCATTTTGTGGCGACATTGGAGTTGTGGTGGCATTTCGTAGCTATCCCAACATAGTGAGTGCTGTAATGGCACCAACAATCCTCAACAATCAAATAAGGATAAAATATGAAAATCCTACTTGAATTTGTGCTGACATGTCATCATCAGCTAACCAAAGCGAGGCAGAGCAACATCATTATCATTATTATTATTATTATTGTCGTTGCCATTTTCAACATTTTTATTATATTATGGAAATCAGTGTGAATATCACAACAACAACAGCAGCAACAGCAACAAAAAAGTGTGAAAATATGAGCAATGTAATCCTTCAACATAATTTTATGATTTAAGTGTGATATAATACATAATTTAATTTTAAGTTTTTTTTTGTATTTTATTTTAATTTATATAAAATATAAATTATTTGATTTGTTCGTTATGTATTTAAAATAAAATGAATGAACAGACAACAACCTGTCACAACCATATTATTCGTGAGGGTTTGAGCCACTTGAGTGATACTTCTGAGAGGAGGGTAGGTATGAATCTGCAATTATTTTAAATATTTATTAATAAAATTCACTACCATAAAGCTGACGTAATCTTGTTTTTCAAAAGAAATTATTATAATTTTTGGAATTCATTGATATATAAATATGATACGAGGGGACTGACAAAAGTTCGCTTATTTAACTACAAAAAAAATTGACAAATAAGTTTCTTTTCATAACTTTAATTTTAATTTTTCCCACATAGTTCCTATTAATTTCTATATATTTTTGAAGTGAAAAGTGCCACTTTTTGAAACAATCAGCCGAGCCTAGCCGAGCTTTCTACGGGTGATATTGTCTCATCTACTTTAGTATTGAATAAAATAAAACAAAAACTGATGAAAGAGATTTAGTATATAATACAGTGCAATATCCTTCATAAGTACTACCTGAAATCTATTTCTAGTTTGGTGATTCTAAATAATACATATTAATTAAGTTAACCATCAGATATTAGAAAGTAATTCGCAGTGACTGAACTAAATAGCTGTTAAAAGCCACTACTATAAGGTAAAAACCAAATTAGTCATACTGCATGAACTCCAAAATTGTTTAAGCGATAACCTCATCTCGACCTCAATTTTATCGCATACCTACGTCAGCGTACGGGTATCCATACCTGCATTAAACTTGCACTTCGAGTGCGACGACAATTTTTAAGGTTAAAACTTTTGAAATCCTTTTGAAACATTTTATACATTTTATACATTCCCCAACTATAAAATGTTTTAGTTGCATTACCGCAACTTATGTGATTTATTTTTTGTAATCTACTTCAGACTAACTGCTTTAAATAATTCATGAAGTTAAAATCGCATGCTTGTCACATGCCAGACATATAAATGATTTTTATGCGATTTTCTTGATTTTTTAACAAAATTTTTTCCAAATATATTTTGGTTCATACTTTTTTCTCAATTTTGAATGCTACTTGATTGTACTTTTGCAATCCGCAACTTTTATTTTCCATGTAGCAAACATTTATGTACGAGGCAGCGCAAAGGATTTTCTTCTTTAACATCTTCCTCATTTCAAGAGTTTTTTTTTCTGTTAAATATATATATATATATATTTTTTTTTTTGAAAACAAATCGAAATGAATTTGACATTTTTGACTGCATTAATAGCAGTCGAATGCCTTTAGGGCAGGGCGTCATATAAAATAGTAAAAAATGAACATTACAAATGCTGGCTGGCAGGCAAGAAGGAACTGCTTG